GGGGGGCCGCGCCCGCCGCGCTGACCCCCACGCGCCCGCAGACCATCCGCGAGGTGACGGGCTACATCCTGATCGCCATGAACGTCTTCGCCTCGCTGCCGCTGCGGAACCTGCGCGTCATCCGCGGGACGCAGTTCTACGAGGAGAGGTACGCGCTCTTCGTGCTGCTCAACTACAACCCCAACGCCACGCACGCGCTGCGCCAGCTCGGCCTCAACCAGCTCACAGGTGGGACCCCGCGCTGAGACCCCTCTGCCCCCCGCTGCGGTGCCACCCCCGGGCACCCTGCGGCCGTGCTGTCCCCGCCGCGGTCCCTGTCCTGGAGTGATGAGGTCCCCATCCCAGAGTGGTGCCATCCACCCATGGTCCTCATCCTGGAGCAGTGCCATCCCCTGCTGCATCCTGGTCCCCATCCCACAGTGTCACTGTCCCCCCATGGTCCCCATCGAGAGCGATGCCACCCCCCGGGCACCCTGCAGCCATGCTGTCCCCACCGTGGTCCCCATCCCGGAGCGATGAGGTCCCCATCCTGGAGCAGTGCCATCTTCCCGTGGTCCCCATGTGATGAGGTCCCCGGCCCAGAGCGGTGCCATCCCCTGCTGCATCCTGGTCCCCATCCCACAGTGTCACTGTCCCCCCCATGGTTCCCATCAGGTGTGGTGCTACCCCCTGGACACCCTGCGCCCGTGCTGTCCCCACCATGGTCCCCATCCCAGAGCGATGAGGTCCCCGGCCCAGAGCGGTGCCATCCCCTGCTGCATCCTGGTCCCCATCCCAGAGTGTCGCTGTCCCCGCATGGTCTCCGTCGAGAGCGGTGCCACCCCCCGGGCACCCTGCAACCATGCTGTCCCTGCCGTGGTCCCCATCTCGGAGCGATGAGGTCCCCGGCCCGGAGTGGTGCCATCCAGCCGTGGTACCCATCCCGGAGGGATGAGGTCCCTGGCACAGAGTGGTGCCATCCACCTGTGGTCCCCATCCCGGAGCGGTGCTGTTCTCTGCTGCATCCTGGTCCCCATCCCAGAGTGTCACTGTCCCCCCATGGTCCCCATCGAGAGCGGTGCCACCTCCCTGTGCATCCCATGGTCCCCAGACTGGTGTCACCGCCCCATAGTCCCCATCCTGGAGCAGCACTGTCCCCATTGTGTCCTGGTCCCCATCCCAGACCAGTGTTACCCCACTATGGTCCCCATCGGGTGTGGTGCCACCTCCGTGTGCATCCCATGGTCCCCAGACCAGTGTCACCCCCCCATGGTCCCCATCCCAGACCAGTGTCACCCTGCCGTGGTCCCCATCCTGGAGCAGCACTGTCCCTCCCCGGAGTGGTGTTGTCCCCCCTATGGTCCCCATCCTGGAGCGGTGCTGTCCCCATTGTGTCCTGGTCCCCATCCCAGACTGGTGTCACCCCGCCATGGTCCCCATCCCGGAGTGGTGCCGCCCCCCTGTCCCCCCCG